GCCTCCAACCTAAGAGCGATGGCCTCCAACCTAAGAGCGATGGCCTCTAACCTAGAAGCGATGGCCTCCAAACTAAGAGCGATGGCCTCCAACCTAAGAGCAATGGCCTCCAACCTAAGAGCGATGGCCTCCAAACTAAGAGCGATGGCCTCCAACCTAAGAGCAATGGCCTCCAACCTAAGGGCAATGGCCTCCAACCTAAGAGCGATGGCCTCCAACCTAAAGCCTTAAAGAACAAGCCAAACAAATGTAGCGAAAGGTGGCCATGCCCAGTCATGCTGCATACCTCGGCCAAGCAGCTGAGCTCACCTGCACTGGCACCCTTCTTCTCCTGCAAATCGGGTCCACTCCAAAAAAAAGTGACTGGTCTCTGGATCTGGATACCGTATGTAGTACATACTTCATCAGCAAAGCTTACATTTTATCGCTGCCATCCAGCCTCCATGACTTCTTTCAGGTGCTTGGCCTTCCATAGGGAGAAAGCATTGGCCGGCTTTGTCGGGGCATCCTGTCACAAACACGCAACAGGTGTTGTGGATGAATCCGACAGCATGGCGATCTGAAATCTGCGCTTGGGAATCTCAATCTGCCACCTTCATGGTCCTGCTAGATTGCCGGTGTGCTTTTGTCCCTCTTGGTGAAACGCCCACAAAGGGCACTTGGTAGAAAGCAAATGTACATGCGGGCAAGTTGCACCTGTTGGGCTCAAAGGGCCTACTGGAGATGCCCAGAGTCCAAGAAGAGCGCACCGCCCCCTCCTCATTTCAAGGCTTTGAAATGTTCTTGTGCCTTTTCATAGAGCTCCGTACCTTTCTTTACTGCTGCAAAGCCTGACACATTGAGATCCATCCTGGCTCGCTTTACGGCCTCAGTCCACTTCCCAAAGTTCTCATTGTTTCGCTTCTTGGCTGCTTCTGACGCTCGTTTGCTGACTATCCTTCCCCGGCTGTTCTTGGTCAGATCGTCTTTCTGTAAGCGGATCACCCCACCTGTATCACCTCCTCTGAATGCCACTGCACGTGCCATCTTCTTACTTACTGGGGCTTTCCTTTGAGAGAGGCGGACTATGCTCAACCGCCACAGGTCATTCTTGGACCGCTCGCAAATCCACCCGAGGCCTCTGGTCATTCGGAGATAAGCCCGTTGCTCAGACTTGGCCCAGTACACACCATCAGCTAAAAAGGTCTCCCCCTTCTGAAGCATCTTCTGGCCACTCCGAAACAGCTCAGGCATGCCTGGTTGCCGCAAGATTGGCGTTCGTCCTGAGATGATCCGGAACTTTCGCACCAGGCGTCGCTTAACCTTCGGTGCAGCATGGGCAGAATCTTCAGGATGGTCTTGACTTCCAAATTCTTCCTCATGGTCGTCTGCATGTTCTGCATCCTCCAGAAGAGACTCCTCACAAGATTGGCTTTCCACCTCCTCATCGGTGCCTGGCACAGGTGATTCTGGAAATTCCTGGTCACTTCCAGCTGCACCATCCCCAGCATCTTCACTCTCTTCATCCTTCTCAGCTGCTTGCTCATCTTTCTCAGCTGGGGCCACATTTTCAGCTTCCTCGGCACTCTCAAGGACTGGCAATGTGTCGAAAGCAGGTGACTTCAAAGGCCATGTCCTGAACTTTGCAGGCTCCAATGGCTCCGCTTTCTCCTCAGGTGTCAGCACCACTATCGCCAGGTCCTCACAAGAACGAGTTGTAATCCAACCAGTTTCCGCCTTCAGGCGCAAGTAAACGCGGCCGTCTCTACGTGAGAGGAAGCGAGCAACAACCTCCCGCTGTCCGGTAGGCAACAGGTTCTCCAAAGGCTTTTCCAGCACATCTGGTCTTGGGAAAATTGGAGTCTCAGCTAAGACTTGGACATTACGAGAAAAGGGCTCGGCTGCTTCACATTCCATAATGGCTTTGCTTGTCAACAACGAAGACGATGCCTCGCCTGGGCTCCATCGAGATCCACCGGAGCCAGCAGGGCACCAACGTGCACTTACCCGAGGCTCTTCTTTGAGAGCTTCTGGAGGCGCTTGCCCGGCACTGTGCAACTCTAAAGCGTCTAGTAGAATATTTGTATCCACTTTGATGCCCTTCACCTCCAACCCCTCACCACTGGCAATGCGCTTCTCTACCTCTGCCACCATTGTGGCACCTTGTTTAGATAAAAGCGTTGAGATCAACTGCACTAAGCGCTCTCTGGACAGTGTTTGCGCCATGGCTCTATCAGCAAACATTCAAGAGCTACTCAGCTACTCGGTTTCTGGATGCCGGACGCCTGGTGCTCTTGAAAAGACATTGGTGCAGGACGCATGCGAATTGGGCTCTGAAAGGCAGACTCATCAAACACTGAATGTTTGTCCTGAGTTAAGCAGTGGAACCAAACAGTGCTACAGTCTGAACCGGTAAAGGTCATCTGGTCATCCTTGAGCATCGGTCGACGCAGCCAGAAAGTGGACTGTGCAAGAGTCAAAACTGGGGCAGCACTGGTGGAACTACCACGGCAAACACACAAACACCAGCGGACACGACCGGACAAAACGCATCAAAACAGCAGATCTTGGTACACCTGGACTGTTTTCTACACCAAGCTACCAAAAGCCACCACACATCAAGCCAATCGCTCTGAGTCCTTGTGGGTGGTCCTGGTCAATGCATTCAGCGCGTGTCGGCCATCCATCTTAGCCTTCTTCAGCTGGAAGTCCTCCCATGCACAAAATCACTTTCGAGGCCTCCAACCTACTTGCGATGGCCTCCACCTAATAGCGTCCTTGCTACTAGTAGCTTCTTGTTACTAGTAGTAATGTCCGCGATGGCCTCAAACCTAATAGATTCTTCTTTTTTTTATGCAAGGAGATTGTATTAAAAATCATGTGGAGCCGCAAATCAAGCCCGGCTTTTCCTTTCCAACCCTCCGACACATCCCAACCCTGTTGATTATATGTTGACCCTCTTCTGCTCAGCTTTTTGCACTTGCCAACCCTTAGCTTCGCCTTGAAGTCCTGGGTTGTTTTGTATTCTGCGAACTTGACTTGAAACCTCAGTTCCCAACGGATTCGTACGCAGTGGACTTGAAGATTTCGACTCATGACTCGTGAGCAATTATATAGCTCCACCACAGCAAGGACGAGTTGCTCCTCTTTCTGTGCCTGCGACATCTCCTGGTATTCTGCCTTCTTTGTCTCAGGAACCCTGCGAGCAGTGTGGTGCAATGCTGCATCAATTGAAATCTGGCAAGGACGAAAGCTCGGCATGAAGACTGCCAGCTCTAGTTCTATCACCCTTTCAACTTAATTTAACCCCATCCGCGCTCTCAAAAGGAAACACTGACTGACAAACAGCAAGAACTCAATTTATATATCATGTTACGGCTGGTATGTCATACATGTACAGCAAGTGGCTATACTAAACCTGCATTTGGCTGCAAGTTTTTAAGGTTCGTACGCATTCCATTCCTCAGACATCTTCTTTCCAATGTCACCCATGCTTCCACCCTTGGCCATGACTTCCTGACAGGCAGGTCTGCTTCAAACAAGGAGCAAAATCCCGAGCATGCTCTTCGAAGAAAATTCGAGTGGCTCCTCGAGAAGAATCCTGCAGGCTGACAACACGAATCAGAGCGACTGTGAGGGCTCGGCCTCCTTGACCCGATCCCGGATTTCATCGCAGAAAAGAGCGTAGCCAGACTTGGGCCTGAAAACTCGAGAATTGCAATTGTCTAATACCTGGACCATGGACCCGGTTCCCAGCATTGCGCATTGACAACGCTGCAAGTATATATACACATATGTATATATATATATATAATGAGAATGAGAAGTTATGTACGGTTAAAAAAATATTCCTCAATCAAAGATTGTCAATATGTGCAGCTACCAAGCTTATCTGGCATTCTGACGTCCAGTGTGGGACGTGTCAGAGTTGTGGATCACAGCATCTAACACTGACCTTGCCTCTTGGGAGCCTTTTTTGATTCTGCCTTCAAGAACTTTTTCTTCTCTTTCTTGTCCTTGTACTCCTCTGCACGACATAGCATCCGTGAAAGTCGCTGGAGTCCGCTACCAGAGTTGGCTACAAGCATCTCCAAACAAGTAGACGGCAAATACTGTTTAGAACCAAGCACAAAGAACCAAGCGACTAACTTCCGCTTCACTTATACACTTATATAAACTCTGGGTGCTGTCAAAACTGCAAAGCTCCTGCTTGAGCAAGCAGAACTCTTTGTAGGAGTCAGTCTTTTTGTATGCCTCCCACTTGGGCTTCCAAATTTCCATCTCTTCTTCATACCTGAGTGGGATAATTATTTTTTACCGGAATTGAGCCTCTGAGACTGGAATCCGTCCAAGTCGCTCTTTCTGCAGCTTATCTTTTTCCTCCTGGGGCACCTTCAATTCAAACGAGCAGTCCAGTGACAAAAACACTGCAAGTACAAAAGTTCTCACAAGAATCACGAACGAAATAGAGCAGAACACTACGTACTGCCACTCCAGGATGCCCGCCTGCTCCCACACTTCATTCAAAGCCATGAACATTCCTTTCAGGTCTGTGGCCAGCTCGGGCCTGCACAGAAAGCACTTCCTTTTGCATTGGGACCAGCTCACAGAAATCTGGTTTCGACATCGATTTTTGGCCAAGCCTCTCAGTCCTCAAGCGTTCACGCGCTGGCATTTGGACCTTGGAAAAAGAGGGTCACAAACAAGATGGTGAAGATATGATGGTATAGTATTTGTCTGTATGATCTTGTCATTGCTTCAGGGTGCAACTTTGGCTTTGGGAGTCTGGGGCCTCTTCGGCGCGTTCAAGTCCTTTCCAAAGCTCGGAATAGCGCATAGCCTTTGATGCTGACTTGCTCTTGGAAATCTGGAACGCAACTATTCTCCTTCGGCCTACCCCTTCTTTTCTTCTCCTCAGGGGCCGTGCCATTCGTTGCTCCCTGCCGCACGGGTGCTCACTCGAATCGAACTTCAATGATGCCCAGCCTAATAGCGATGGCCTCCATAGCGATGGCCTCCAACCTAATAGCGGTGGCCTCCAGCCCTATAGCGATGACCTCCAACCTAATAGCGATGGCCTCCAGCCTAGTAGCGATGGCCTCCAACCAGTAGCGATGGCCTCCAACCTAATAGCGATCGCCTCCAACCTAATAGTGATGCCCTCCAACCAATACAAATGACCTGCAACCTAGTAGCGATAGCCTCCACCCTAATAGCGATGGCCTCCAACCTAATAGTGCCTCCATAGCGATTGCTTCCAGCAATGGCCTCCAACCCAATAGCAGTGGCCTGGAACCTAATAGCGATGGCCTCCAGCCTAATTGCGATGACCTCCATCCTAGTAGCGATGGCCTTCAACCGAATAGCGATGGCATGGCCCCCAACCTAATAGCGATGACCTCCAACCTAATAGCGATGCCCTCCCACCCAGTTGCAATGGCCTCCAACCTAGTAGCGATGCCCTCCAACCGAATAGCGATGGCCTCGAACCTAACAGCAACGGCCTCCAACCTAATAGCGATGGCCTCCAACCTAGTTGCGATGGCCTCCTATACCTAATAGCGATGGCCTGCAGCCTAGTAGCGATGGCCTCCAGAGCGATGGCCTCCAACATAATAGCAATGGCCTACGACCCAATAGCAACAGCCTCCAACCTAATAGCGAGAGCCTCCAACCTAGTAGCGATGGCCTCCAACCTAATAGCGACGGTCTCCGACCTAACAGCGGTGACCTCCAACCTAATAGCGACGGCCTCCAACCTAGTAGCGATGGCCTTCAACCTGGCCTCCAACCTAGTAGCGATGGCCTCCAACCTAGAAGAGGGCCTCCAACCTAATAGTGATGGCCTCCAACCTGATAGCGATGGCCTCCAACCTAACAGCGATGCCCTCCAACCTATACTAGCGATGGGCGATGGCCCCCAACCTGATAGCGATGGCCTCCAACCCAAAAGCGATGGCCTCCAACCTAGTAGCGATGGCCTCCAACCTAAAACCGCTGGCCTCATAGCGAGTAGCAATGGCCTCCAACCTGATAGTGATGGCCTGGCTCAGCCTAAATCGCGATGGCCAACATAGTAGCGGTGGCCTCCACCCTAGCCTCCGACCTAATTGCGATGGCGTCCCTAATAGCGATGGCCTCCACCCTAATAGCGATGGCCTCCAACCTAATAGCGCTGGGCTCCAACCCAGTAGCGATGGCCTCAAACCTAAAAAGCAATGGCCTCAAAGTCAAAACAACTGGGCAGCAGGAACCGTTCTCCCAACACCGCATCACACCCTTTTCGTTGCACATGCATGGCGTCGGGATTCAGAGTGAAACTACCGGCCTTCAAGGCATCTTGAACTGCTGCGCACGCTTGAGCCAAGCGGCTGATGGTGCAAGATATCCTGGGAGCTTTCTGGTGAAAAGATAACCTGTCAACTTTCCAGTGACCTCAGTAAGCAGGTGCCTTAGTGAGCATGTACCGTTCGACTCAGGTTGGGTCTTCATTTGGTGATTGATCACCCATTTTCCCGCAAAACAAAGTAGTCGCAATGCATTGCGATCAACTGTGCCTTTGTTCAAGCCGTCTGCAAGAAGATCACGAGTGTCTGCCCACAAAAGTCGGTTAGCGATTCTTAAGCTCAGTATCTCCTTTAGTTTTAACGCGTGTATTAACATTAAGGGATCTGTCGTAGTTTTGGTGTCTGCAGCTGCCACACTTGTGAAAACACTTTGAGTGTCGATTACCAAGTCGGTCTGAAGAACATTGACACCATTCTCTTGAAGGTCTGCCAGGTCTCTGGCCGTTTTCTTTCCTTCCAAGATCTCACTGAGTGCCAAATTAATGTTGTTTGCAAGACCAATCAAGTCTAATGCTGCGTATAACTCAGCGGTGAACGTGCTTCTGCAAACCCTTGACTGCTTTTTACTGACAAATTCTAGAACTTGAAGAGGATTGTTACCCACAATCGGGCCATTTTTATTGCCCAAAGCAATTATTCCACTCTTCATTGCAAGGGCTTTTTGGTCCTCACCCTTAAAAGAACTATCAGAAATTACCAAGAGTTTCCACGGGTTGTCCACCTTGTAATATCTCATACTTAGAGGTTTTCTTTTCACGAAGCGATTTCAATCCTAGCAGGTTGGGCAGCGAAGAATGAGCAATGTATGGTGCTGTGTATGAGCTATCCACTAATGCGCCGTTCTGGTCCCGGACGCGGAAACGAACCTTGCCGGCCTTTACTGTCTCTTGAGCTTCTCGACCGACGCCGGCAACCCTCAACGGTCTGTCAAGTTCTTTTTCCTCAAACACATCATCACCTGTCGCTTGGCGGGCCAAAACACGAAGAGTCGATTCTCCTGACAGGTTATCATGGGCACCGGGGTCGACAAGCAAACCAATGCGACTGTCTGGACACCTTGTGCTCATGGAGTGATAGCTCAAACCAGAAGGGGCCAAAGTTCTTTCCCACCACGGCCAGTGACCGTGGGCGTCTACACCTGCATCATGACCTTGCATCTCACTGTCGGCTGGTTGGCCCTGATTCTGTGTGGGAACGCTCGGCTGACTGGATGGCTGCGCTGCAGGCTGTCCTACAAACAGAAACGGGTTGCTTGACATAGTAGTTTGCGAACGTATCTGTGGGTTGTCGAGGCCATGCAGCAATTAACTGGGACAGCTGCAGTGTCACTGCTGCCTGAGCTTCTTTCTTCTGCTCAACTTCTTTCTTATCCGGGGGCCCTAAACTACCCTTGCTTGGCGATGGTGAGGATGCACTGGAAGGAGTCTTAGCTAGGTCTTGCTTTCGGGACGTGGATGCTTCTGACCCCTGGAGAGATGGAGTGGCACGCGACTTCCACACCCGATGCTCCGCTCCTTCTACTGCTGGTGGTCCTATGAGCGACTGTTCAGACATTGGCACGGACTGATCACTGAGCCATGTCATCCAAGACTCAGTTCCGGCAGTTTGTCCTGCGGCTGCCGACGGCTTCTGGTCTTCCTGACTCACTTCCTTGGCTGTCCTCTTCTTCGAAGACGTGGTGCGGAGTGATTCAAGATCATCCTGAACGGTCGAACGGCTCGATACGGACTGTGCGAACTGAGGAGCATGTGTCATATGGACATGCATGGAGGGAAGAGACTTTAAGGTGCCAAGGTTGATGGCTGCATATGATGAACCTAAGGCTCCACTCTTTTGCACGTTCTGCGGACACTGTTCCTCACTACCACATTTATGGCAGTTTAGCACTTGACCATCATGATCACGACCCTTGGGGTTCTTTCGGGCACCGCTGGGACCTCTCTTAGGTTGGCCTGGGTTACGATTGGCAACGAAAGCTTTTGGTGGCAGAAACGACGCAAAGGCTCGTGCCAGAGGACTCTGAGACAAATGACGATGTTGCTTTTGGAACTTGCCTCGGTTGAAATGATTCTTCCTATACCGTCTTGGGGGCCTTCCGGAGAACCTACGCCAACGCTGCTTAGCTAACATATACTCCCCGTACAGCACATTGGCTGCGGCTTCTGACTCATCCCCAAACGATGCATAGGATTGCTGAGCCTCAAAGTCTTGTTCCCCTAGGTCTGATTCAGTGGCACTACTGTTGTCTTCATCTTCATAGAACATGCCACATGTGTCACACCTTTCGGCATCAGGAACAAGACTAGAACTTGCTGCAAATGCACCCTGAGTTGGCATTGATTGAGAGGCAGGACCGGCAACACCAAAGAAATCGGACGGCATTTGATATGGTTGCGAAAGGCCGTGTGAGAACTGCATCTGGGCTTGCGCTGTGTGAGGTGCGTGTCATGCTTCTTCAAAGAATGATGGAAAAAAGTATGTTTCTCCAACTTGACCTGTGGCACCTTGCTGATTGGGGGGATGGTAATAACCACCGTCATGCAACCTTCCAACCCGACGAATCCTCTCAATCAGCTGATTGAACTGCTGTTCGTCTTGGGGAAGCTGACCGTCCAACGGTGTCAACACTCTATCCCACGAATCTGGGTTCAGTCTGAGGCCTCTCAGAAGAAGCCAAGACATCCCTTGAAAAGTCATGCCCAAACCACCACGTTGCACTGCGCGATGCCTCAGTACGTCGAATCGAACGAGGCACGCGTCCAACGTTTCGTCCGTGGTCCAACTAAAAGACATCATTTCGGCCAATGCGCGCGTTGCCAGCTCACTATCTAGCGGCATGTACTTCTGTGTGAGGACTTGCGCAAGAACCATGAGGCCTGTCATGTGATTACCTAGGTTGTCAATTTGGCCGTGCACCTGCGGTGGAATCTCTCGGATGAGATCTCGGGCACTTCCTGTTATTTGTAAGGCAGCAAGGGGGCCTTGTCTTTGGGGCTCAATTTCTGTGGATGAACTCCACAGAACCAGGTCTGACAGCCAACTGCGGACGCTGTACTGGTGGGATGTTTCAACACTCCATCCAGGTGGTGTCTTCAACGTCGCCTGGCCTTGATAGGCAAAGGGTCTTTGGCTTGGACCCTGAAATGCCTGATGCATGTGACACACAGCCGTCATCATCATACCAATACCGGCAAAAAAACACCAAAGAACTGTGTATTGTCGCCAATGTTTCTTGTATTGCTCAATGCTACGAGGAGGCTTCTACTTCTTTCGCCTCCAGCTCTTAAACTTGGCGACATGCTCATTTGCATGCTGTAACACACGAAGGTCCGAATCATCTGCTACAGACGCTACAGACTGGTCACGCAAGCGACGTCCGCTGAATGACACTGTCATCTGATCACTCATGTATGACTTTCGCATGAACACTTCTTCAAGAATCGGATGAAAGTACGACTTATCCAACCAAAACTTGCGTGTCTTATTCACCATGTCTTGCTGAGTCCGGTCGGGTCCAAAACCCATTGAGAAAGCACGCTCGGACGAGTCAATCGCCACACCAAGCTCGGCTTCCACGGGTCCAAAACCCTGCGAAGTCGTGACCGCCGGGGCCGCTTTGGACAACGAAAGATTGTTCGACTCATTGTCCTCTGCGGGCAACGTACGACTCGCGAACTGCAACAACATGTTGCTTGCCAATGTGTGATTGTATAATGCTGCGCCGTTCAAGGCGTCCGGTTCATCTCGCAAATCAACGCTGTCAGCGACAAAAGGCGATTGACGCTCAAGCAACTCCAATGAGTCGTCTGCAACGATCTCAGGGAACTCAGCTTCTGACAGCGACAACTGCGGAGAGGGCTCACTCAAAGGACTGCGCACCAAACGAATCTCTTCCATGCGCTCTGCCGGCGTGACGAAGTCGTGAAGAAGCGTTCCGACAACAACAACGCCAGTCACAAGCAAGAACGTGGTGCACACCGACAGGATGCGTAACCGGAGCCCCGCTACCAAGTCAAAACAACTGGGCAGCAGGAACCGTTCTCCCAACACCGCATCACACCCTTTTCGTTGCACACGCATGGCGTCGGGATTCAGAGTGAAACTACCTGCCCTCAAGGCATCTTGAACTGCTGCGCACGCTCGAGCCAAGCGGCTGATGGTGAAAGATATCCTGGGAGCTTTCTGGTGAAAAGATAACCTGTCTACTTTCCAGTGACCTCAGTAAGCAGGTGCCTTAGTGAGCATGTACCGTTCGACTCTCAAACCTAAAGGCGCTCGCCTCCAACCTAATAGCGATGGCCTCCAGCCTAGTAGTGCTGGCCTCCATAGCGATGGCCTCCAACCTAATAGCGATGGCCTCCACCCTATAGATGGCCTCAAACCTAATACCGATGGCCTCCAACCTAATAGCCAACCTATATAATAGCCATGGCCTCCAACCTAGTAGCGATTGCCTCCAACCTAATAGTGATGGCCTCCAACCTAATAGCGATGGCCTCCAACCAATAGCGATGGCCTCCAGCCTAATAGCGATGGCCTCCAACCTAATAGCGATGGCCTCCAGCCTAGTAG